AAAAAAAAAAAAAAAAAAGAAATAACCAGTTTCTTGTCACTCGAGAAATTCAAGTAGAAGTTATCCTGATTTAAAGGGAGATCATATTGGAGGAGAAGCCAGTCTGGAATGAACTCCGTTAAACTCAGAGTATTTTAAGCATCTACTCTATGCCAGGCTCTGTGCTAAGGAACAAAGCATATAAATTGAATCAGATGGACGGGAAGCGAAAGTCACTATATAGGGAAAAAAAGGCTCCTGTGGCCCTTGCCTGTAATTTCAGCACTTTGGGAGGCCAAGGCGAGAGGATCACTCGAGCCCATGAATTCAAGACCAGCCTGGGCAAAACAGTAAAACCCTGTCTCTACAGAAACTTAAAAAAAATTAGCTGGGTGGGTGGCACCTATGGCTCAGTGGGTAGGGCGCCAGTCCCATAGTCCAAGGGTGGAGGGTTCAAACACGTCCCCAGCCAAACTGCAACAAAAAAATAGCCGGGCATTGTGGCAGGCTGTCCTCCTACCAAGGGGGATAAAGTGAGACTCTGTTTCTAAAAAAAAAAAAAAAAAAATCAACTGGATATGGTAGTGTTCACCTGCAGTACCAGCTACTGGGGAGGATCACTTGGGCCCAGTAGCTGGAGGTTTCCATGAGCCCCAATTAGGCCACTGGGACTCTGTCTCAGAAAAAAACAAAGATTTTCTATCATGCACACAACATATAATACAAAGAGATGGTATAAAATGCAAAAGGAACAGAAGACTTTTTTTTTTTTTTTTTTTTTTGGCCAGGGCTGGATTTGAATCCACCACCTCTGGCATATGGGGCCAGCGCCCTACTCCTTGAGCCACAGGTACTGCCCTGGAACAGAAGATTTTTTAATAAAGACTTTTTTTTTTTTTAACATAGTCTCACGTTGTTGCTCTGGGTAGAGTGCTATAGCGTCATAGCTCACAGCAACCTCAAACTCTTGGGCTCAAGCGATTCTCTTGTCTCAGCCTCCCAAATAGCTAGGAGCCCGCCACAATGCCCGGCTAGTTTTAGAGACAGGTCTCACTCTGGCTCAGGCTGGTCTGGAACCCATGAACTCAGGCAAAGCACCCGCCTCAGCATCCCAAGTGCTGGGATTACAGGTGTGAGCCATCACGCCGGGCCTTTAATAAAGACTTTTAACAGTGATAGAGTGGAACAAATTTCAGAGGCACCTACAGGCCACAACACACCCCCTGCCACAGTGAACCAACCACGGTAACCTCAACCCACGGCCGCCTCCTCACCTTTAATTTGCTTCTGGTGTCTCTGCAGCTCAGGTGCCAGGAGCCCACTGAGAGGCCCGAGACAGCCCATGGCACTGACGGCTGCATCCTCATCATCGGGGTCGTTCTCCTCGTCGCTGTCTCGGACCTTGCCATGTCGTCTTGGGAAACGTCAAAGAAGACAAAGATAGATTCAAAGAAAATAGTGGTATTTTTAAAAATAGCAGTCACACGGTCTGACTGCCACACACACATGGACATATCATTTCACGGAATGCTCCTCCCACTCCTGCCCAGCTTCCGCCCGGCTCTTGGCCACCGACTTCCCACAGGTGACCACTGTTACTTGTTTCCTGTGTATTCCTCAGTTTCTGTCTGTATAAATAAAAAATTATAGTTTTCCCCCTTTACATAAATATTTGCATCTACGCTCCTCTGTGTCTTGCTTTTATTCACAGAAGAAATCTTCCCATATTCACACACAGAGCTGTGTTGTTCTTTTTTTCATTTTTGAGACAGGGTCTGATCTCACTCTGTTGCTCAGGCAAGGCAGGGGTCCTCAAACTTTTTAAACAGGGGGCCAGTTCACTGTTCTTTGCCATTGGAGGGCCAGACTGTGAGCCCCAGGACAAGTCGGCTGCTAAGCAGGACAGGTGGTGGTGGCAAAAACACCCGGCAGGCCGGATAATGGGCTGCATGTGGCCCACCAGCCGTAGTTTGAGGATGCTGGGGCTAGAATGTCACTGAGTCAGCCCAGCTCTCAGCAATTTCACATTCCTGAGCTCAAGGGATCTTCCTTCCTCAGCTTCCGAAGTACCTGGTACTATAGTCACCTGCCACTACTCTGGCCTCAAACTCCTAATAAAAGGATCCTCCCACCTCGGCCTCCTAGAGTGCTGGGATTACAGGCACGAGCCACTGCACCAGCCCAGCCGGGATTACAGGCACGAGCCACTGCACCAGCCCAGCCGGAATTACAGGTGTGAGCCACTGCACCAGCCCAGGTTGGATTACAGGCGTGAGCCACCACTGCACCAGCCCAGCCGGGATTACAGGGTGAGTCACCACTGCACCAGCCCAGCCAGGATTACAGGCGTGAGCCACTGCACCAGCCCAGCCGGGATTACAGGCGTGAGCCACTGCACCAGCCCAGCTTCCATGCCCTTCCTTCCAGCTGTCTGGTGCATGCACGGTCTGTGTTAGGGCACTGGCCTGCAGACCATTCACACCTGGTGCTTTCCAGTATTGTACCATTACAAACAACGCTATAATCGCAGATGACCTTACATATACTGTTCTCTGCACATCTACAGATAGACCTGTAGCATAATTTACAGAGATAGAATTGCTGAGTCAAAAGATTTACACTGGTCATTCTGGCAAGAATTGCCAAATTGTCTGCCACAAATCCTGCCATAATTAACCTCTTACCAACAATACATAAGAGCGTCTGTGTCCCTATGGCCCATCAACAGGACATATCATCAAGCTTTTGCATTTTTGCCAATCTAACAAGCGAAAAAACCTAAATCACAATTTCTGTTAAGTGGCATTTCTCTTGGTGCCGGACATCGCCTCTTCTGTGAGCTCCCTGTTCCCACCATGTCATCACTGTTCCACTGAGGGGCCTTTTTCTTACTGATTTCTAATAATTTTATATATCATCACAGTCTCTCTCTTGTGTGCTATATTAAAAATATTCTTCCATAAATATTTTTAATATTTAGCCCCTGCTTATGGAGGTTTGGTTTTATCCTGTTTCGGTTTTGGTCATATAGAAAATAATTTTTAAAAGACTTTAATATTTTCCTTTTTTTGAGAAAGTTATCGAGGCCTTCCCAATTATGAAGAACTAAAGGAATTCTTCTGCAACATTTTCTTCTGCTAATTTTATTATCCCACTTTTTCTTTACTCTGTTTTTCTTATTATTTTTTTTTTTTT